ATTTTCTTGAGATTGAGATAAAGTCGATTTGATTTTTAGTGTGTCCATCTGGTGAAATCCATGTCGCTCTGTGGATATCCTTGTGCTTGAACACACTGCCTCCAATCACCAAATCGTTGAATGCACAGAATTCTGCAAACAATTCTCCATTCTCATTCATTTCACCTAGCGCCTCTCGACCCATGGTTAGTTCTCTTCCTGTGTTGTCCCCTCCCAGTTTGGCATTCATGTCGCCCATCAGAATTTTGATATCGCCAACGTCTTGTCCAGTGTTGATTGAAGTTGTCTGTAGAAATCCTCCTTTTTCTCTTGCTCTGCATTATTTGTAGGTGCATAACACTGTGTGATTGTGACCTTTCTTCCCTTTGAGTTGAATCTTGCTGTCATGATCCTGGAGGAGATTGGTTCCCACTGCATGAGAGCCTTCGATGCTCTTGAGGACATCATGATAGCCACTCGAAAAATCAGTGTGCTCGTGGTTGGCGTCTGGGTGACCGGAGTAGATTATTGATTCTCCAGTTGACAGTTTGGAGAGTCCACTCCCATTCCATCTGCTTTCGCAAATCCCAAGCACTTCGATGTTATACCTTCTCATCTCCTTTGCAATCTGGGCTGCCTTACTGGGTTCAAACATCGTGCGGACATTCCATGTCCCCACGTTTACTTTCGCTTTCATCGAGGGAGAGAAGACACATGGGCTGACTGGCTTCCCGAAGGCAGGCTTTCACCAACTGGCGTCATTTCGCCTCTCCGATTCCAGCGGGGAATAAGTTTGTTTTCATTTTTTATATTTTGTTTGTGCTTTGAAGTTTGTTTAGCGGTTAGATTTGTTTTACGGGGTAGGGTTGCTAGCCCTATGCCCAACCTTCCCTCTTTACCCGGGCTTAGGACCGGCTAGTAACTAGTAAACTAGTTAACCAGGCGAGGTTGTTAATACTACTACTAGTAGTAGGATTATTATTAATAACACCTGCATTACTGTTACTACCATTACTGCTAATATTTTTCTTTCGATCTATGAATTTGGGTGGGTAGTAATTGCGACAGAAGGTTTCCTTGGTGTGTCTGACTTCTTTTCATAAACTTTCTGGTCTACTATTAAGCTTTTTTGTCGTATTAATTAGTCATTTAACTAAGCCTACTTTAACTGAAATGGGGTGCTAGAATTCGAAGTCTGAGTAGCGATTCGAATGGGGAGGTTTCCTATGGACACTAGTCTCTAGACTTCCGTCTTGTCTTCACTTAGTCTTCCGATCCAACATTGCTAGGTCACCTTCATCACTTTCTAAGTCACAGGTAAATTGGATTGCGTTCACTACTGGATTTATATATGCCAAGAATCTATTGATGTATTCCCATTTCAGTAGTGTAAACGTATCATCTACACGTTGGAACCATATCTTTGGAGTAGAACTCAGTGATAAGAGGGCCATCTATTCCCAACTATTCATAAATATATCTGCAGTGATAGGGGATATTGGTGATGCCATAATGACCCCTTCAGTTTGTTTAAATATATTTTATTTTGAAACTTAAAAACTGTAGATGTTAGGCACAATCTTACTCCTAGTATGATTTCCTCGATCGACCTCTTAGCTCTATGTGTAAGCTTATTGTCATCCTTAATTAGAAGTAAATGCAATACAAATTGATTCTACTACCTTTGTCATCATAAAGATGAAGAGAGAATTATGGACTATATGAACTCTGAAAGTTATGGAGTTACTCGCTGATCTGAATATGGACAATGAATTGTGTCCCAAACATGGTTATCCAGTCAGTGATACTGTTTCTTCACTGTGTGTCACAATCTACTTTAATGGTCAAGTTATACTCTTATATTAATGACGAGTAACTAATTAGATGAATTTGTAATGGATGATGATTGAAGGTGAGATAGAAATCTGACCCACAGCCGGATTCGAACCAGAGACCACCGGGTTACCGGCCTGATGTTCTACCAACTGAGCAGCAGTCGGACCTCGTAGTTCAGTTGGTAGAGTACCGGGCCGGTAACCCGGTTGTCGCTGGTCTGAATCCCGCCGCGGTCACCCACTACAACTACTAGTCTGCCAAACTACGGCTATCTTAGATGATCAAATCATAATTAGATAAATATTGACTTTTAAAGTACATTGGGCACTGAAAGTTACATACAACACTTAAGTGGATGGTGATTCTGTAGAAGTACAACTTGTAAGTGTCTGTAGTATAGGCGTTGCCTAGAATATGATGACCATCGAACTACTGACACAATTTTTAAACGTTTTACTCAAAATTTTTATCAGATAGGATCAGGTTACCATACTTAAATAATCGGTCATTAATTGAGCTTAGTTTCTGCAGTAGTAGATAAATCTTCTAAGCACGGTTTCCACTAGTGAAGTTGTCGAAGTAAACCTTCGTTGCATGAGACCAATATATGTAGTAGGTTATGCTTGCTTTCAGGCAATTTATGTGCTTCCTTATACCTTTGTTAACAGTAGGTAATGAGGGGTAAATGGCAAGATCTATCCAGATCAACCTAGGACCAGGCATTACTGCCGTAACGGTCCGAGTTGCCACACCTTATATCACTACATCAAGTAAAAAGGCAGTGGCGTGAAAGACGAAGATAAGAAAATTCAGTCGAAAGAAACATAAAGTAATAAAAGAGAGAAAGGAAGAATGAGAGTAGTGAGATTCGGTATAGCGTCGTTAAGATGAGGATAATGTGTGTGTATACATCTGCGCCACTGACATCCGTTCTCAGCCATGTGGTCGCCTGGAGTCTCCAACCACTGGTTCCTCTTGTCCCGTGGACCCCAACCACCTAGTCTACATCGTCCTACATGGTTCAAACCAACAGTCAGAGACTTCATACATTGGTGCCATGTTTTAGTCTGGCGACCTCTGGTCTTTTTCCAGCCTGGGCCTACTTCGTCCAACATTGTGTGATGAGGCAATCGGTGACTGGGCATACGTAATACGTGCCCTAACCATCTCAATCGATGAAGCTTCACAACCATGTCAACTGATTTATCTCTCCTCCCTAAAACTCTACACCTGAGCCTGACTTGTGCATTACTCACTTGGTGACACCATGGAATAAGGCAGCTTATACTACGAAGGCAACGGTGGTCAAACACCTGAAGCCTTCTTATATCTTCCACTTTCAATAGCCATGTTTCACAGCCGTAGAGTAGAAGAGAGCGAACTGCTGTGTATTACACGCAACCCTTAGTAGACAAACAGATGTCACGGCGGCGCCATAGGTGGCGCAAATTGGCAAAAGCCAATCGAGCCTTTTTGTATCCGTGCAGAAATCTCATCGGCAACTAACCCACCAGGGTTGATCCTACTTCTCAGGTAAGTGAAGTGGTCAACACACTGAACCACTTCACTCTCTATTGTTAGCCGTGGTACCGCTGAAGACCAGTCCTGGAGCAAAAATTTGCATTTAGGTGGTGAAAATCGCATCCCGAACATTCTCAAATTCCCGCTCAAAGTGTTCAGAAGACTCTGCATCTTGTCAGCGTCTTCACCTAACAGGACTATGTCATTTGCATATTCTAGATCTAACGAAAATTTCCCTGTGATTGGATCAACGTCTGTGTAGTCAAATGACGAGAGGGAAACCTCCACAAGAATATCTATGATAAAATTGAATAAGAATGGAGACAGTGGGCATCCTTGACGGACACCACTTGATGAGCATAGCTTCCTGGACAACTCACCATAGGCTCTAACATGCCCACAAGTGTTCGAGTAGAGAGCTTTCAATAAGGTGATGTACTTACTAGGCACGCCTTTCAGTGACAGACATTGCCATAAGACTTCTCGATCAATGGAGTCAAATGCCGCCTTCAGGTCGAGAAATACAGCTACTTTTTGGTGTCGTTAAGTGTGTTTGTGTTCCTGGACCTGGCGCAGTGTGAATATTTGGTCGATACATCCGCGGCCGTGTCTAAAGCCTGCCTGGTTTTGTCAGGCTTGCTGTTCCCGAGCTCCACTTAGGTGTCGGAGAATTATAGAACTTAGGATCTTGGACACTATGTTCGTCAGGCTGATTCCTCTGTGGTTATCACAAGAGGACTTCTCGCCTTTCTTGAAGACTGGGATGATGAGTAACTTAGACCAGTCGGAGGGGATTGTATTTGATTCCCATGTACTGGCTAACACTTCTGTTAACCTGACTAAGGGCACTCCACCGCCATCAAATGGCAAGATACGAATATCAGTGACCTAAAAGCAACTTAGTGGCTAACAGTAAAATCCAGGAGACGCGTTTTGTCGTGTTTGAAACTCATTACCTGACGTGATGGATAACACTTTGTTGTTTGAAGCGATAGGTACTTGGTTCGCGTCCCAGCGGGAGATAGGTTCACCTGACGAGTCCTAAATAGTACGAAACGTGCTTCTTGGGTTTCACTACTAGCCACTAAGTTATTTACAACAAATTCAGTCAGTATTGAGGCATCGGCTTAGCAACCCATCTGCCAACGCAATCCGACCAATTCAATCCAGTTTAGCAGTGAGAAATTACAATTACCAGTAAATATCTTTTTCAGTTTAGAGGTTTGTAGGAATTCGATTGAACCAATCAATCAAACAGTCAGTGGAATTCCCATAAACAAACCTCCAGACTGTCTAGTGCTCATTAGTAACATGTTTCGAGTTGAGACTTCCCTATATTCTAATCAGAAACCTGTGCGAGAAATCGAGTCGGATGTGGTTGATGCATTCGCTAAATCGTAAGTGATTTTTGACACTAAAGACCCTGGATTCAATCCCTGGTGGTGTCATAAGTGCCCACTACTGAGCAGCCGCATACTAAGACGGAATAATTGTTCTGCAGTGTTGTCAGGTTTTCACTGATTTTGGCCTATCAGTTTGTTTGTTGAGTGTAACACGTTCCTGATTAGTTATTATATATATACCAGTATACTTATCTGTTCTATGTGAAAGTTCTTCTCATCTCTCACTTTATCTCCATGTTTTTCTGCCTTCGAAACACTAAGGTACCGGTCATGCTGCTTTAGATGGCCTCATTTTACCAAGTTCCTTAAATACAGATAAACCGAAATTAGTTGTTCTCTATCGAAATGGTGATTTACGTCTATGGGATTTGAAAACAGAACAAGTACTCGATAGTATTCAACTATTCAGTTCACATTCAAGTCTATCAAATTTATGCAGAAGTTTAGAAGTTTTTCAATTAATTTCACCTCAATCATTTATAATACAATCCAAGTGTACAAACCTAACACCTATTGTCGGTGTAGATCAACATGATTTATTGTTAATCACAGGGAATGGATTTATTTGTCCTGTTTCTGTAAAATATGATACAGAAATGTTAAATTCACGTTTAAAGGTAATCATTTGTTTTGTTTCCTGTTATTATTTCATATTTCCATGAAAATTAGTATATAGCTTCAATATATACTACTGATAAGCGAATTGAGTAGTTAAAAAAGTGTTCAGTAGATTTCTCTCCAGATAGAGCTGGATTAGAGTGACCTAAACACCGGACGGTCGTTCCACTTGTTTGGGACTGAGCTGATTGGCGGTGTCACAGATCTTGGTGGTCAAGTTGTCATATGTAGAGCTATGTAAAGGTGGCATTTTTTTAATGAGTACCTGTTGGTGAGTGGTAAATTTTGTTACAATAAAGTCATATCCGTCATCTGTTTCTACGTGATAGATCTCTTTCTAATACTCTAATTCACTTGATCAGTATTCCCTTCTTCTTCTTCTTCTCTCTCTCTCTCTCTCTCCTAGTGTGAGGACTTCGGATCGTATCACCGAAGACAGCGGTGTCCTTGCTTGTATTGTATTCTCTGAGCTGGGTTGTTTAGTCGTGGAGAACCTTTCATCGTCTTTCTAGACGACATCATCATCAGCACTAACTTCAGTATGGAGTGAGCTGGCACTATCTTTCTTAGAGTGATTCACTAGCTTCCCTGACAAACTGCGTCGTGATTGGTTGTTTCCATCGATTCTTGTGTCACTGATTGATTGTTGGCTGTCCCTCTGCTTCACCTCTCACCTTTCTGTCGTTTATTATTTTTCTCATTGGTTGGTAGATTGGGTCTTTGTCTACACATACATTGATTGCTGACTGACTGACCTGAATGCCAAGCTTCTAGAAATTCATTGGTCTTCTTTGTGTTTCATCTCTCCCTCCAACATTTCTACATTGTCCAAATTGAATTCATGTCCATAGTTGTTATCCATATGCATTGAAATGAGTGACGAAATGTTGTGTGTGATGTCTAATAGCCAATTGGTGTTCATGGAGACGAGGGTGAAGAGGGTGACCACTTTGTCCAATGTAGTGTTGACTACAGTTAGCTATTGTAGTTGATTCTGTATATGATATTCGGTTTGTCTTCTTTGGTTGTTGCATCCTTTGGTCTGCATAATAGTGCTTGTAGGGAATTTGTTGGTTTATAAGCCACACTAATTCCACCAAGTGGTCTCATCTTGTCGTGATTTCTGATATGTTCTCTATGTATGGTAGGATGATGCGTCTATTGATTTCTGTGGATGACTTTGTAGTTGGTGATGCTTGGGTGAGGCATATTGTGATAAAGTTCCGTGGGTAGTCGTTCTTTTTTAGGATGGACATCAAGTAATTTTCTTCGTTTCTCCTTGAAGTTGTTGTGCTGCAGTGTGTTCTCGCTCTTCTGAATAGAGTCTACACGCAACTGGTCTTGTGTATTGTTGCTATTGTAGTTGAGGATTTGGTCAGTGTGTGTTGGCTTCCTGTACACTTGGGTTTCCAGCTTTCGACTATTTGTCTTACTGACTAAAACATCGAGGAATGTCAGTTGGTTGTTTGACTCTTTCTCCATTGTGAATTTGATGTCCCGTAAAACGGTGTTGATCAAACTGCTGTTGTCTACAAAGACGATGAAAGCTCCACGACTAAACAACACAGCCAGTTCAGACAACACAATACAACCAAGACCATCCAGCTGAGTTACAATTATTCTCCACCATTTCATAGTGGTGTCCGTGGTGAAGGAAATATCCTTATCTAAGGTTGGTGATTTTCAGCTTTGTGTTTAACTTTTGAGGTATATAGTTACGTTGGATGGAGCATGTGTATTACGGATACTTGTTCATCATCTACCGAATTGTGCGATATTATCTGACGTAGGATTTTATTGAGAAAAGATCAAAGATGATCAGACTAGAATGTGACAATCAGTCTATGAATTTTTTGACAAGTAGGGACTCTAAGTTGTACACCTTGGAATCAGTCATACACTATCTTCATGCTAGTTGTTGTTGTATTACACCCTCTTCTTCTCTCCTTATGACTTTCTACGAGACGAGTCATAGTCGAAATACGCTCACCAACATCTAGCATATCCGTATAGTAAGTAAGGCAATCAGCCACACCTGTTGTGTGCAGGTAAATTGTTCTACCTGGCTACTTAAACGTCGGTGTTAGATCGCGTTATTGGATAACTGAACTGAATTGATCTGGTTTCTTATATTCAACCTTATTCACCTTTATATATACCTTTATCGGTTTGTTTTCGAAGCAATTGGAGTTTCATGATACGATTTATATAAGATTATGCATTTCTGTTTAGTGGAAAATAAATAGTAAATGTGTTATTTATTAACCATCATTTAGCATCAATAAATTAAACAGATAAAAATTTATTCTGTTATTATTATTTGTCCCTCGGGTTCCTAGTGAAACAGTAACACGTCACCATTTCACTCTATACTCTGCGGTCTTTTCAACCTGTCTCCACGACTGACCAGAAGCTGTCGCTTCTTCCTCACATGATCTCCTCTATGTCACCCTCAGCTGGGACACCCAACTCGTCGTTTCCCATTTGGCTTCCACTTCAGAGCCTGACCTGGCCTGACACGTGATGTCCCTAAACTGTCTTCTCAGTGAATGTTCAATCCAATCCATCTACACTTTCTCCTACTGCATATTTGTCGGGCAATAAGTTCTCGGTTGGTTCGTTGCCAGCCAGTCACAATGAGTTCCTCGTTGCTTATTCTTATTATTTTGGCCATCTGATCTTCAGTATGGCGTGAGCGTAGGCGGCGACTGTTCATGTATGATGTCTGTAGTTTGTTGGAAATGCTTTTCGTAGCGTGTCAAGTCCCTCAGTCATCACATAGAAACACTGACTTGACTGAGATTGTGGTTTGAAATCCGGATGTTGTTTACCCTTTATGCTGAGTGCAGTGCACAAAATCTCTACACTGGTTTCAAGTTGATGAACTCCTATTTTGCTGTCTTTCCGATCCTGGCTTTGACGTCCTGATCTGTGCCGCCTGTAGTTGAGACGATGCTGCCTAGGTAGGTGGTAGGTGAGAGAGATTACTTGCTTTAAATTTCTCGCGTTCACGGTTATTGATGCTTGTTGTTGTTGTTGGTTAGGTATCTTCACTACCTCTGTCTTGTGTACCTTCACCTGAAGTCCTGTCTTCCTTTGCTGTCTCACCTCTTCTGTCAACTTGTGAGTTTTCGCCTTTAGATCTTCGTGTTTGTGCGACACTAGACATAAATCATCATCAGCGAACTTCAAATCTTCTTCTAGGGTCTTTTCATCAATCCAGCTAGCGTATGGCCATCTTCCCACTGCTCACAGTTTGAGACCAACATTTGACCAACCGAAGAAACGTTTACCCAATGTCCTCGAGCATTCATTGAACATTAAAATGATTGAAAGAAATACCAATGACAGACAACTGTAGACAGTTAGTTATTTCAACTTTTCAAGGAAACTGGGATGAAAAACTGATGGTTATTGAGACCTGAGTGACCCATTATGAGTCGAACACTTCGAGGAACCCTCTAGTCTAACGAACATTGTGTCTAGGATCCAGTGTTCTATGATCATCAGACGGTTAATTACAGCTTGGGAACAGCAAATCTGAGAAATTCATATGGAACACAGGGTAACCCCTAAAATACCCCGATCTGAAGATATATAGACATACTTCTAGAGGTCTCGTCCGAATTTACAGGGATTGATTTTGTTAAATTAGATTCTTTAACAAACCTAGAGTATACAGACCACATGATCAATCTAATGATTGTGGAATATCTTACTTGTTTACTCTTCTGTTGAAAAGAAATTTGCTGAGTCACTTCATCAGAGGATCATAAATAGTGAAACTCTATTGACTGAATTGATATGCTGGATAGGATTTATACCTCAGGATCACGATGATTGTGGTTCGGTCCATATAGTGCTGCAAACAATCTTTGGAGTTGATTTGGCAGACTACATTTGTGTTATCTGCCTTTGGCAACGGATCCTTTAGGTTGCATGATATACTCTGTAGTTGATCCAGTTGGTTTGTGTGTCATTTGAATTCTGAAGGGATGAACCAGTCGGTTGATCGTTGCATGTATGTCGTATTGCAGTCAGCTAGAGTTAGTCAGGATTGTGCAGCATACCTTCAATGGTATCCATCGAGGATGCCCACTCTCTCTGTTCTTACTCAATTTTTTCATTGACGTTCTTGTGGAAGTCTTCCTCTCGACATCTGACTACACAGGGTTTGACCTAATCTCAGGAGAATTTCCGGTTATCTTAGAATACGCAGAGATGCTGACAAGATGTGAAGTTTTTGGGATGCATTCTTGACCACCCAAATGCAAACTGTTGTTCCAGGACTAGTCTTCAACGATGTCCTAGCTAACAATAAAGATTGTAATAGTTGGAGCGCGTTGAACACTTTTCTTATCTGGGAAGTCGGATCAGCCCTGATGTGTTGGTCATTGGCCGACGAAGTCTATGCATGTATACAAAAGGCTCGGTTGGCTTTTGCCAACTTACTCTATCCGTGGCACCGCCGTAGTATCCGATTGCCTATTAATGATCGAGTGAATGGCAATGGAGTTCCCTCTGTTCTATTGTATACCTGTGAAACATGGGCATTAAAGGTGGAAGATATGAGAAGAGTTCAGGTGTTTGACCACCGTAGCCTTCGTAGCATAGGCGGTGTTTCGTCGTGTCACTACGTGAGTGACCCAGTTGATGTAGTTATGTACCTTCATCGACTGCGATGCCTAACCACTGTCCACCTCGTCTCACAATGTTGGCCGAAGTAGGTTCAGGCTAGAAAAGAGCCCAGGATAGTCAGACTAAAATATGGCATCAGTGTATTGGTTTGAGCCATGTAGGGTGTTACAGACTAGTCTGTTGGGGTCCACGAGACTAGAGAAATCAGTGGTTAGAGACTCTAGGTGATATGACTGGGAACTGATGTCATATTAACCGCTACACTTAATCTCATCATCTTGTCATTCTTTCTTCGTCTCTTCTACTACTTCTTTTGACCAACTTTTCTTCCCTTCATCTTGATGATAAGCTTTGCAACTTTGGCAGTATGAGTCGAAACTCAAGATATTAAAGACGTCACTGTGAGCTCATCAGTTGTCATTCATGTAGCTTTAGAACGTAGCATTGTAAATAAACATTAAATCTGATGGTATACAAGACTTATTATCCATTGGAAAATGTAGTACAGGTGAACATCATCTGTACTTACAAGACTATATGAATATGATAATGAGTTTACTGTAAAGTTTGCGATAACATCCTTGCAGTGTAGTGTACTGTCGAATTGAAAACGAACTGTCTACTTGACATTAGGTACTTAATAATTATATTTTCATTTTAATTATCTTGTTCAGATTTTAGATGTACTTAAAATGGATGATGATGGATCAATTGAAGCATTGAGTTGTTCTTGGACGTAAGTTATCCAATCATGTTGCCTGATGATGTAGCGTAGTCATTTATCACTATATCTTATTATTAACAGTGAAAATTAGGGTTTTCCTAATATCATACTATCTATTTTGGTCTAAGCTATTAACTATCTGCTTACTGTTATCATTCAAACGTGGTAGATATAGCTGATAATGTAGCCTAGTAGTATATCTTATATAGTGTAATAATGTATACAGTCTGATAATGGTTCTGTGCTCTTGTTGAGTGACTTTAAAGGTTACTACTTTAACCAATGAAGTAATCAATTAAGTTTCTTGATTTCATGAAAATCTTCGTTTCTAGCCGAAATATTAAAAAAAACCTGACTGATTATCTCAGTTGTTGTTAGAGTGACCCCTTAGTGTCACTCATTTTTGTAATAAATTTAGATGAAAAGTGTTCAGGTGTAAATGATTCATCCATTTACGACCAGTGGATCACTCTTCACCTACTAAGGTGTAGACAGCTGGGTGGAACAGATTTATGTAACATTATGAATCCAAAGTGGTTATCATGATAGCGATGATTGACTTGTTGTTGGGTTTGTATACTTTCCTAACTCTGCCAGAGAACATGTATTTGGACTGTTGAATCAAGTCATATGTTTTTCATCAGTTCAAAGTGATGTGGCTGCCTGTTGGGGATGACATGGGTTCTAACAATACGTGAAATGAGATATTTTGACTGGATAGGAGTAATACGACTGTTCTCTCCCACACCCTGTACTTCACTGAGCCTCGAAAATCAGAAGACAAAAGACGGTCTGTGACTGCAGAACTCAAGTATTCTCAGCAATTGTGTATACTTTCATGCAATAGTCAATGGGTCACACTTACCTATGTGTAGGCTCTCTGAACTCCGAAATCTTGGTGGATGGAGTGGGTTTCGAACCTACGACCCACTGGTTATAACTAACTATGCGGGTGGCTTTAAGCATCAGTGGGATTACGTTTTTTTTCTCCTCTTCACAAAGGCAGACAGAGAAAATCAGCGTGGAACCTGGCACACAGCTTCATCACTTTGAGTTCTCTCACTTCATAGTTGTTTACAAAGAAGAGGTGGATAGAGAAAGAGTGATATCAAAGTAGACAAAGTTGTGTGAGTGAGAGAATAAACACTCCGCACCACTGTGGCCGATTTTCAGCCAAATCACCAAGCGTCTTCAACCACTGATTCTTATCACCTCGGGAACCCCAGCTAGTTAGTTAGTTTACCTGTCCACATGCAACTCAGACCAACATGAAACCAGAACATACAATACATTAGGTATTCAAGTTAAGCTATACATACTTCTGGAACTCGTAAACACCTCATGTCATTGTGTAGTCTTACCGTTTGCTCGACGTTAGTTCATCAGGAAATGCGATGTAGTAGTCAAACGGCGGTAGATAATACGACCTTTTTATTCTGCGGTGTCTATCACATGCTTAAAGTGATAACTGAGAACAGAAACTAAACGAGTGGACTTGTACGATAATCCTAGCAGATACTGTACTTGTCTGTCATCAGTGAACAGTATTCATATAGTTGGTTTTCCTAAGAAGAGAGTAGTTGTTCGAGTGAATACCGATCGGTTAGTTTGTATTCGTGTGTCTGTAACTGTGTTATATATCCCGAGCGAATATAGTACGCACGCAACAGTTACCGACTGCAACCCGTGACGAATAGAGAAAAAAAACAAGCTGGTTGGGAAAGTTTATTCCTCCTAGTATAATAATCAATTAGTAAATTCAAAAAAAAACAGGGGGGTATAGTGCACATGAAATATGACCTTGTCCATAAATTGGGACATTAACTTAATGAGAGTAAGGATTAACCAATCAGCGAATTACCTTGAAAATGGGGTTAAGAAAATGAACTGCCAATCGATAACAATGCTTTATGTAAAGTTGAGGCCTTCCAACAAAATGTATATTCATTTGTATGTATGTGCACACGTCAGTTTGTTCGTTTGTAAGTGAATATACGCATTGAATTGAGACTGATGAAGTTGAGTTCAATGTGCTTACGAAGGATCAGTGTGATTGTACACTTCTTTCTATGTATGTGCATGGAATTGTGTGTTTGTATATCATAAAAAAGTTACATTTCAGTTGTTATTAGAACATCCTTTAGAGTTATTCAACTTTAACTCCTCAGTATCTGAGTGTAACCATATTCACCTGTACGCTTATGAGTTACTGGTTAAACTGAAAACAAAACGAGAAATCCACAACTATATAGAGTACATATTTAAAGGTCTCTAACTGAAGCACTAGTTGACGTGGGTTCGAATCTCAGATAGGACATCAGTTCTGACGAGTGCTAAAAGACACGAAACCTATCTCCAGGGCTTCGTGCCAATTATCTCTATTCAACTGAAATTTAACGGCCGACCTAACAGCTACTGAAATGGACACTCAGATTTCTTTATTTTATGATAGAGCTACTTTTGAAACGATCAACCACTGGCTTATGTTGTCATGAGGACCCCAGCCGAGAAACTGAAACTTCCTTACATGGCTTAAAGGAACAGTCAACGGCTTCGTGGGCTAATCCCATGTTTTAATCTGCCCATCTAAAAACTTTTACTAGCCTGGACCTACTTTGACAAATATTGTTTGACGAGAGTAACGGTAACTAGCCAGGTGTACATTCTGTGTCCGTTCTTTGTGTAACTCACGCTTCATGAGATGCAATTAAGAAGCTTAGTCCCATTGTATTCTATCAATCGCTTACGATAGTGATCGTGTTTGTGCGTCATAGATATGAGGAAAGCGATGGTTGTTGTCAGGTAGTGTATGTGTGCGTAAAATCCAAAACACACGATTTGTCTGAGGTGTCAATAGCATAGTTGTGTCCAAGCAACCAAAAGACTCGCGTAATTTCCTACGATAAGATAAAGATACAAAGATAAACAAATTTTCAAGGTAAAATTGAACATCAGGGAACAACGAAAGAAACTACAACACCGTGAACTGTGAATGATACTCATATCTACGTATGTTAAATGGTGAACAGAATGAAACAACATTATGAAGAAATATGAATTATGCTACTCAGAAATACTAAGTAGTATAAAACTGTAGATAGAAAAAAGCAATGCACTGGAAACATCTCATTAGGTAAAGGAGAACAAGTAAGAAGGGAAATAACGACCAAAACTTTCAATTGAGTCACTAAGAATTTACCATAACTCATCCATATGATTTCTAAGACCTCAGCTACAGTCACTTACGGTTTTGTACACAGCTGAAGCCAACAATCAGAGACTTCATGAAGTGATGCCAATTGATGATGTGGCCAGTATTCGTTTTCCTCTAGCCTAATCCTACTTCAATTTACGTCAGGCAAGCCACTTTAATCGATATGGTTCACAATCTTATCATCTAACTTCCTCCTTTTTATACTTTGCTCCCTACACCTAATCTGTACATTCTGCATTATTCTACAGTTCCACAATACGCAAACTATGTTACGAAGATACTCTATTGCTTTTTCTCAGCTTCATAAATTTATGATCTTTTTTCCTCATTATAGACATCCATTATTCGCTTTTGGTTCTATCACTGGTGTATTGGGGATTTGTGATACTCAAACTATTAGTATCCGTCAAAAGTGGACTTATATCGATGAAGATGATGGAGTAAGTTTTTCTGAAATGTTTTTTTCCCCTCTTAAAAAGTTATTCGGTCTATTGATTGAATAACGATTGAGTTATGCAAACAGTTATCAATTTGAAGATTTATGGAGATTTATTTATTGAAATCGAGTTAATATTCATCGTGGACTGACGTCATTTGGAGAACCATTGAAAACCTGAAAGCAGTTGACACCAGTACCTCAGTGGTAGGCACCCATGACCGTCACCCGCTCTTCCTGGAATCGAAATCAGGACCTTCATGTTTCGCGATGTACACCTGGACATATCGGTCATCAGTTTGGCCCTTAGCAGACTCCTACGTATGCACTTCTCAAAAGTGAAATAGCTGTCCAACAAATGGACGGCTAATGTCTTCTGAAGCAAACAACTGTCACCTCTGGAAATCTCAATACACATCTCTAAATATTTTCACCTAGTTCTGTGATGCAATTCGACATAGAAGTGGTTTGTCTTCCAACTGCACTAATCACAGTTTTACACTCCATTTGTTTTTTAGAGGTGTTTAAGTTCATGTTCTACAATTCTCAACTCCATGACTCGATTACTCCTCCTTTATGTATATTTGGTCACACACACACACACACGTGTAAATTGGTAAACACAATGCGATGTGATGTAATCACTGATTCAGTGTTTAGGTTTATGGTGAGACTTGTGTATGCTAAACTGATATAGACACCTTTTCTCCTGAACTGTGTATACACTTGGTTTATGGGCTACCTGACTTCTACAATGGTTGATGAACTTCAATGGATATCAGTTTCTCATAAGTGTTCTGGTCAGTAATTTGATATCTTCATTCATCGTATCTGTTGTACACCTTACCATAAATCTTATGAAATAGGCATTTTACTAGACCTCTTTTGTTATTCGATTGGATGAAAACTGTGAAAATTCAGATATTGTCGTATCTGTGTAGGCCTTCTGTAAACTGACCGTCTTCTCCATCGACTCAGAAGTACATTTAAGAATGCCAGATGATATTTATTCTCTTCCTTAAAAGTCAGGCTGATGTTAGTTTAATGGAGAATAGTCATCATCTGCTATTCTTGAAAGTTCTCTTGAGTCGATGAGAGTTCAAGATGTAATGCGCAAATACATAGCCTATTGTTTAGATAAAAGATGATTCCACTACTGTTCTATAGCTGCTCCCATTCACTATTTAGTGACAGACTAACCTATCATTAGAAGAAGGTATTATATTATTATTTGTCCCTTGCGTTCCTAGTGGAACATACAGCTTCAGTAGAACGTCTCCACTCAACTCTGTTGTCTACATTCTTTTCAACCTGGCTCCACGACAGCCCAGTAGCTCTCATTTATTCCTCACACCATCTCCTCCATGTCACCCTCGCCTCGGACGACCAACTCTTCGTTTCCCATCTGGGTTCCACTCGAGTGCCTGGCCTGGTATGTGATATCCCCAAATCGTCTTCTGAGTACATGCTCAATCCATCTCCACTTCCTCATTCCTAATTTCCTGAGGGATAGCTTCTTGGTTGGTTGGTTCGTTGCCAGTCAGCCAGCCAGCCAGAGTTCCTCCTTGCTAATTCTTATTCATCTTTCTGGCCATCTGATATTCAGTATCGAGCCAGTGTAGGCAGCAGTTGTTGATGAATATTTGTAGTTTGTTGGAAATCCCTTTCGTAACGCACCCCCAAGTCTCTCAACCATCACATAGAATCACTGACTGACTTGAGTGAATTAGTGTTGAAAATCGTGATATTGTTCACACTTTATGGTGAGTGGAGTGGAGTGGAGTGGAGTAGATCTGCACACTGGTTTCAGGTTAATGGGAGCCTGTCTTGGTATCTTTACGATGCTGGCTGGCTTTGACATCGTGGTGTGTGCGTGTGCGGCCACCTGTAGTTGAAAGGATGCTGCCTAGGAGAGTGGTTGGCAGAGGGTACTTGCTTCAAGTTCCTCCTGTTGATGGTGATTGGATGTTGTTGTTGTTGGTGGTGGTGGTGGTGGCGTTGGTTGAGTATCATTATCACCTCTGTCTTCTGTCAACTTGTTGAACTTTGTGTGTTGATGTTTGAGTTTGTGCGATATTAGACACAAGTCATCGGTGGCAAAATCGGAATCTTCTTCTGGGATGTTTTCCGCTGTCTGGCCAGTGTATGCCTTTGTTCTGACTGCGTAGTGTTTGTTGCATGATCCAGTGGAGTGGACGACAATGAGGAAGATGATTGGTGATAGTAGGCGGCAAGGTTGTCCGACTGGTGTCCCGTGTTCACTTCGAATGCGTCAGTGAGGTTTCTATTGTGAATTAGTTGGCATTTGGCGTTTTAATATAGTTGTTGAATGAGGTTGATAAAGGTTTGTGGTATTCCGTAGTGTTGCAGCAGTTGCCGAATTACTTGTTGGTGGCAGCTGTCGATGGCCTTTTCAAAGTCGATGAAGTTGACTGCCATTCTATACTCTGTTCTATGATGATGCGAACCGTTGCAGTTTGGTCCACACATGATTTATACTTCCTGAATCCAGCCTGTTCCAGTTGTAGTTTTGAATCCAGCGCATTATTTAATCTTTCCATGATGATGCAGCTTATTATATAGCATCTTTTGTTATTGCTAGAGAATGTTTTACTTCTGTTTACTTAAATGTTTTTGTTTTTAATCAAAAAAAAATTATAATAGCAACCTATTGGGATTACATCGTTACGCTGGAGTCGATACCAACCAGTGTTTTTTACTGCTACTGTTAAAGCTTCAATAGTTGCATGGTCTGGAGTTACTGGTACCATCGAAAGAACATCTACAGGTTCAGTGAAAGATCCATCTCCATTGAAAATATGGTGGGGTCATAAAGCAATGATTTTAGACTTAACTTTACTGTCATTTCATCGAGTAACAAATGAAACTGCAATCGACGATGGTAATAAAACAAGTGAAGCATTGAAGAAAACAGAATTGTACATTGAACCATTTTTATGTACCGCATCAGATGATACAACTGTACGATTGTTTAAAATTGATATTCCCTAATCCATTTTATTAAATTACACATATATTTACAAGTACTACTGATATAAAAACTGTCTTGAGTTTGATTGTACTTAACTTGTTTATTACAGCTTAGTCAGTAATAGCTAGTTAAACCCGAGGTCAAATAATGCACGAGACCTTGAAATTTCAAGGTCAAGGATTATATTCGAAATAAAAATAAATTAAAACTTCCACCGGGGAAATTCTCTAACCCATTTGCACATAGGAATCACCGATTTGATGTACGATCGAAAATAAAAGGATATGAAGGAAGCAGCCAAATTATTGAGACCAGTCAATACATAAAATCAATAAGCGTCGCAAAAATAGCCAATCAGGATAAAGGTGACAACTATGTGGCATCGAGTCTGACTCATAACACTTACAGAGTAAATAAATTAGCAGTGAGCAATAGTGTAGCATTACAAGTACTGGTTATTAGGATTTCGCGTAGATTCATACAAAATTAGATAGACAGATGTGATGTACTCAACGCTGTTATTAATTTTCCTTATTGCAGACAACGAGGTTGTTATATCAACTGTAAAATGAACAACGTGAATCTCAAATAAGTATCATTGATCGTATTATTTTATTCATTCTGAGAATCATTTCACTTATACTCGTAACATTATTGTATAACTCAGTTAATGAGCTTTTGATTGACTCTTCATCCATTTATACATAACTTATAAGTTTGGAAATAATCACATGTTAAGTGAAATCAGTTTTCAACGTTTGATAGGGCCGAATCACGTGACTCATCGTGTGAGTGGATTAAGCCGACAAAAGTGGGCAAGCGTGTTGTAGACCAATCACGTGCAAGGTCAGCATTCAGACTGAGTCGACAGTATCACGTGAATCAGACAATCAAAAGCAGATAAAATAATCGGAGGCGTAGACTATTTTTAGCGCTAGTTTACAGTGAAAGGCGCGAAGATAACAGCAATTAATTATTATGGTATCCTTCTATCACAGAACTATACACATCCATTGAACCTCAGTTGCCCAAGGAAACTATTTCCCTTCTGCTGAATGAAGAAATAAGCCTTACAGAGCGCACAAAACTCAAATGTTCAAGTTTGATGGAACTCATCGACCTTTGTCTGACAACATACTTCCAATTCAACGTCAAGATATACAAACAGATGAAACGAACTCCAATGGGATCACCGATATCCGGACTAATTGCAAAAGCAGCGATACAGATACTGGAAGCCATTATTCTACCTGTGATGAAACCAAAAATTTGGATTCGCTATGTGGACGACACTCTTGTCATCATTAAAAAGGATGATATAGGAAACACTCACAGTTTTATCAACAGCGTTCTCAATGACATCAAATTCACAATGGACAGGGAATCAAACAACGAACTACCTACCATTCCTGGATGTTCCAGTCAGTAGGACAAATGCCGGAAAACTGGAAACCCAAGTGTACAGTTAGCCAACACACACTGACCAAATCTTCAACTACAATAGCAACAATACACAAGATCAGTTGCATGCAGACTCTATTCAGAAGAGCGAGAACACACTGCAGTGTAGTAAAACAACTTCAAGGAGAAACGAAGAAAATTACTTGATGTCCATCCTAAAGAAGAACGACTACCCACGGAACTTTATCACAATATGCCTATCCCGTACATCACCAACTACAAAGTCATCGACAGAAATCAATAAACGCATCATCCTACCATACATAAAGAACATATCAGAAATCACGACGTGATCACTGAGACCACTTCATGGAATTGATGTGGCGCCTCATAAACCCACAAACTCCCTACAAGCACTATTATGTAGACCAAAAGATGCAACAACCGAAAAAGACAAACCGAATATCATTTACAGAATCAACTACAATAGCTAACTGTAGTCAACACTACATTGGACAAAGTGATCGCCCTCTTCGCCTTCATCTACATCAGCACCAACTGCCTATTAAACGTCACACAAGACATTTCACCACTCATTTCAATGCGTGTGGATAACAACTATGGACATGAATTCAATTTGGACAATGTGGAAATGTTGGAGGGAGAGACGAAACATAAAGCATGTCAGAGAATTCCTAGAAGCTTGATATTCAGGTAGTAGTAGTAGTAGTTGGTTTCATGTCGATACAAATGTGAATCACGCTGTTCTCTATAAGAATAGTGACCTTGAGAAGTTCAAAGTATCAGAGCCAAATAGATGAGCTTTGTCTGGATTACTCTCTAAATTCTTGGCTATACTGGTTTCTGTAATATGTTATGTTTAAACACTTTTAATAGCTTATAAGACGCGTTGTTGTTCTTGGTTTACGCGTTTTTAAGTATGACAGTGTTGTAAACGGTTTCTCGTAACACTTTTACGTCATGTCGTTTGCATTACAATATTCAGTGATTCATTTTACTAAGACTATCATTTGATATATTGCTTTCTTAGCATAGTAACCAATTTATCATTCTGACTATCCGCTATTTAGCAGATTTGTATTACTCATACTGGATGATGATTAAAGATGATATGAAAGTTTCGACAGTATCCCACGTTTTTATTTCACTTCAATCATCAAGAGTTTTGCCCGACTATCATAGGAATTCTGGGGACGTTACAACCACTTGATCTTATTTCACACTGGTTACCTAGTTAGGATTTCTCATCCCAATCCCAATCTAACTGAATTTGAAGAGGAGGGGGTGGTTACCATATTGGTTATCGGTTAGTAAAGCACTTTCACTTATCACCCAGTGTCACTAATTTATTGATCAAGATCTCCCAATATTTTGATAACTGTTTACCTGATAGTTGTGAGTTGAGTATAAAGTCTTGGGTTATGAAATTACTTCATCAACCAACACAGTTGCATGAAATCCACTCAGCAAACTTATGCAGATTCGTACATACCTATTGTGTAAAGACTAGTGATGCTACCTAACTGTTCAAACTTTTGTCGATGTGGAGGGTTTCGAACCCGTGACCCACTGGATGAAAATCAACTCATTAAGCCAATTGATCACGGTTCCACACAACCAATATAGCATTTGTTTCCGATGTCCAATGTGTTTCACGGTTCATAAATATAGATTTTGTATGCCTAATGTAGTTCTGGGCTCTTCTCATGGCATGTTAACGTCAGTCAACCTGTACATAAATTCGTGTGCTGTGGATTGTGTGTACCATGTTGAAGTGATGAAAACCTCCATCGATAACTCACTGATCAGTATTATTCGGTAATTAAGTTGGGGTGGCCTAAAAACTCAGTCTGTATTATCTCTAGAGCCAATTGGGGAGAAATCCGACTGCTTGTTAAAGGACAAGTATACCGCACTACAATCCGCTCTGTCTTGTTATACGACTATGAGACATGACCATTAGAAGTAGAAGAAATGAAATGGTCACAGGGTTTTGACTACAGATGTCGTCGTAGAATTTCTTGCGTTTAGAGGATTCAACGTTTGAGCATTTTTAAGTTCAGGCGAAAGGTGCCAGGCAAGTCAGTCGAGGAGTTTATGAACCTTTATCGATTGAGGTGGGTATCATTACATTTAAAATGGTCAGTCTTCTTGATAAACTTCGATAAAACATATGATTACGTAACACCCTTGAATGAGTTTATCGCTCAATTGTTTCAGGGTATTATTCACCATGGGCTGATACCAGTTAGAAATCTGTGACTCCCCAGTAGTACGCTTGAATAAAAAAATTCCGTATAAATGTCAAGCTAAATTCTGAATTCCACTGTTTCTTTCCTCTCTCCTACCTTCAAGACACTCACTAATATCTTAAAACATCACACTTAAGCTTTGTCAATATTCATCATAGAGATTATTTACTAAATTCATTTAGGTTGTCTGCAGCTGATGAGGCTTTTCTCATTGCATTATCTCAAGTACTTCAATTGATAACAATGACAAACAGACATTAACTGACAACATTGGGTCTGGCATAACTGGTTCTCAGATTTAGTTGTCATACTCCATGTCAGCCTACCAGGATAGGAGTTATAGAGAAGGAAATCAAAGCGATGAAATTTCTATCAACTGTTGTATCAAAAATATAAGGGGAAGGTAGAGTAGAAACAGAGTAAAGGTGTGTTGTGTATCGTTACCATTCATTCTGTTAGTTATCATTATTATTTGTCCCTTGCGTTCCCAGTGGGACATACAGCTTCAGTAGCACGTCTCCACTCAACTCTGTTGTCTACACTCTTTTCAACCTGGCTCCACGACAGCCCAGTAGCTCTCATTTATTCCTCACACCATCTCCTCCATGTCACCCTCGCCTCGTTCCCCATCTGGGTTCCACTCGAGTGCCTGGCCTGGTATGTGATATCCCCAAATCGTCTTCTGAGTACATGCTCAATCCATCTCCACTTCCTCATTCCTAATTTCCTGAGGGATAGCTTCTTGGTTGGTTGGTTCGTTGCCAGTCAGCCAGCCAGCCAGAGTTCCTCCTTGCTAATTCTTATTCATCTTTCTGGCCATCTGATATTCAGTATCGAGCCAGTGTAGGCAGCAGTTGTTGATGAATATTTGTAGTTTGTTGGAAATCCCTTTCGCAACGCGCCCCCAAGTCTCTCAACCATCACATAGAATCACTGACTGACTTGAGTGAATTAGTGTTGAAAATCGTGATATTGTTCACACTTTATGGTGAGTGGAGTGGAGTGGAGTGGAGTAGATCTGCACACTGGTTTCAGGTTAATGGGAGTCTGTCTTGGTATCTTTCCGATACTGGCTGGCTTTGACATCGTGGTGTGTGCGTGTGCGGCCACCTGTAGTTGAAAGGATGCTGCCTAGGAGAGTGGTTGGCAGAGGGTACTTGCTTCAAGTTCCTCCTGTTGATGGTGATTGGATGTTGTTGGTGTTGGTGGTGGTGGTGGTGGCGTTGGTTGAGTATCATTATCACCTCTGTCTTCTGTCAACTTGTTGAACTTTGTGTGTTGATGTTTGAGTTTGTGCGATATTAGACACAAGTCATCGGTGGCAAAATCGGAATCTTCTTCTGGGATGTTTTCCGCTGTCTGGCCAGTGTATGCCTTTGTTCTGACTGCCGAGTGTTTGTTGCATGATCCAGTGGAGTGGACGACAATGAGGAAGATGATCGTTGATAGTAGGCGACAAGGTTGTGCGACTGGTGTCCCGTGTTCACTTCGAATGCGTCAGTGAGGTTTCTATTGTGAATTAGTTGGCATTTGGCGTTTTTATATAGTTGTTGAATGAGGTTGATAGAGGTTTGTGGTATTCCGTGGTATTGTAGTGCATATCATTTATACTCCCATGAAATATACTACTACTGAATAACAATTAAGTAGTTAGACTAGTCTTTAGATTTCACCAAGTAGCCAGATCAGAATTATCTAAACACCGAACGGTCATTTCGCTGAACTTATTCATTATTAGTGTATTTCGCGAGTTAATGACACTTTTATGTCAGGGATTACAGTTCGTAATCTCGCTTGAGTGGTTTCCAGTGGGTAGTTGATAAAAAATTCAACCATATCACATGTCAGTGTGAACTGTGGGATTTGTAAGCCATTTGCTAACTGATCGTTATTTAAAGTCCCTTAGTCAGTAATTTTCTCTTTTTGTACAGATTATAGCCATAATTCCATAAAAGGGACATAAAAGACATTGGTCCTAACTGCACGTGACCTGGTTGTTATGATTCAAAAACTCTATATGCTATGCCGGTAACGATGCACGGATATCGAATGTCAGCCACCTACGTTCAACAAATTCCTAGTCGATTCCCGAAATGACTAATTAATGGAGGAAACACAATGGATGCGTAGAAATGTTTATTGGGGTCGAAAGACTGAAGACTAAAATATAATTGGCTGTTTAAAATAACACAATTGATTGGCTGATCCACTATGTGTCTGTCTGCCTGTCTGACTATAGACGTGGTCATATAAACTTCATTTTGATTGGTCCACTTCCAGATTAGTCATTTTTCTCTATCCCCATATCTTCTACGTCTTCGAAAGAATGTTATTTCGGGTCAGACTGGGCAGCACTGTCTATTTCTTGCATCTCTCTTACCGATGCAAATACAGTTCCAACTTGTTTACTCAGAGATCAATAGTGTTCTCGATATTCTTTTGGTAGGCCGGTACATCAGCATGATAATCAGGCCAAGAGATTTACCTATCGATCGAGAATTAAACCTGCGGCGATATCTCATGCATGACGTTTAATACACGTCGTTTTGTGTATTGGCGGCGAAAACCGTCCTTATAACCCCTACCTAAAGGAAGTAATCTCTTTCACTTACCAAGGCACAATCGTTTCAACCACAGGTGGCACAAATGAGGACAGGATCTGAAAGACTGCAAGACAGGTCTTCATTAATCTGAAATAATCGATGTGGAGATCTACTCCACAGCACTCCACTCAGCATAAAGCGTGAACAGCATCCGGATTTCAAACCACAATCTCAGTCAAGTCAGTGCTTCTATGTGATGACTGTGGGATTTGACGCGTTACGAAAAGCATTTCCAACAAACTACAGACATCATACATGAACAGTCGCCGCCTACGCTCACGCCATACTGAAGATCAGATGGCCAAAATAATAAGAATAAGCAACGAGGAACTCATTGTGACTGGCTGGCAACGAACCAACCAACCGAGAACCTATTGCCCGACAAATATGCAGTAGGAGAAAGTGTAGATGGATTGGATTGAACATTCACTGAGAAGACAGTTTAGGGACATCACGCGTCAGGCCAGGTCAGGTTCTGAAGTGGAAGCCAAGTGGGAAACGACGAGTTGGGTGTCCCAGCTGAGGGTGACATAGAGGAGATCATGTGAGGAAGAAGCGACAGCTTCTGGGCAGTCGTGGAGCCAGGTTGATAGGAGTGCAGAGAAGAGAGTTAAGTGGCAACATACTACTGAAGCCGTATGTTCCACTAGGAACCCAAGGGACAAATAATAATTAGAATACGGTAACACTCCGATTTTATAGGTAGCTCACAGTACTTCAGGCAGCGAGAGCTATATCATTAGGGTATTATGACAGATAGGTATAATCAGTGTAGAACCACGAATAAGTACATCGGTCTAACTTGCTACACTTCACCGTGATAGTATACAAAAGACAGGTGGGTATTAAAAGACTGATATCAAAGTAGACGCAGTTATGTGGGTAAAAGAATAAACAATCTGAAAAAAGTGGTTAACGTGAGTTTTCAAGCTTAAGAAAATGTCAGTCAAAGAGTGGTCAGTTTTCAATCATGTCACTAAGACTCCTTAACCACGTATTCCTTTCTTCTCGAGGACTCTAATCAGGCAGTAGTCTACATCTATTGACACAGCTCAACTCAACAGTCAGCGACTTCATAGAATGGTGTCATATCTTTTTCTGGCCACAACCAACCCTATTCCAAACTAATCCAACTTCATCTGGCTTACCGTTGCCGAGGTAGACGGTGACATGGTAAGCGTAACACATGTCCAAGCCATCTCAGTCAATAAAGGTTCACGATTTAATCAATAGACTTGTCTGTTTTGTACCCTTCGCTTGACTTCATCATTTGCTCACACGGAGATCCCACTAAACGAAACCAATGCTATGTAGATACCGCTTCACTTTTTCTATTTTTAACGGCCACATTTCAGTTGTATAACTGGATAGAGTAGAATTCAGCACAGTTTGACAGAGAGTCAGATATCTCACCGGTGTGTACCATGTATGAAGTAAGTTAGGGTTTTATAGTGGGTAATTGAGTATCCCAATGTATCACATAACAGAGTGTTTTGTCTATCAGATCAGCTAATTCTTAGATTCCATTGGATTGATTTGAGTACAAAATCTCAAGGTGAATGTTTTCGGAAACTAGAACAAAATGTGTGTCATAGCATCACCTACTCCATAGCTTATTAGATCGATACTCATAAGGAATACCTTAGTCAATGAAGGTTCACCTACTTATCTAGTTATCTACTAGGAGACTCATTAAGGATCATTCTGTAGTTCGAGAGCATCTGAGATATATTATGGAGATATGCTATCTACTTGTTTTCTATTGCTTCAACACGACAAATAGAGAAAATGCATTTAGCATATTATCCTAACATTGAAAATCTGGGTGCACAGGACAGCGGCTGTGAGACTCCCCAGCAGTACACACCCACGACCCCGCTGGACATCGAACTCCCACATTTTCAATGGTTTCACAAATCATATCAATCCATGATGAATACTACTTCTTAATTCAAAAAAAATCCTCATTCATCTGAAAAAGACATTAGTGACTTGCTGCCAGATGGATATCACGAAGCGCTTATGAGAAGTGGTGACGTGTGGAGTCAACCAGTTGGATGTGAAGTGGATGCTAACTGAAGACGTTAGGTGATAATTGCACTATGTTGTGAATTGATAGAAGATGGGAATTGTGAAGCAGTGTGAATCAGCCGAGTGACTGAATTGTAATGTACTGTCCATGGAACCTGAGTGTCTCGGGTTCGAGCCCTGGTGGTGTCGTAGGTGCGTACTGTTGAGGATTTTCATACAAGGAGGAAATAGGTGTCTAGTGCTCTCAGATTTCTAGTGGTTCCCCAACTGATGTCAATCCATGATGAATACTACTTGTAAATTTTAAAAGTTCCCCATTCATCTGACAACTATTACAGAAAACCAACGAACAAGCATCATTCTTCAAGTAGAACAAACAACAATCTCTTATTTAACTGATTGAAAAATAAACCTACAATAAATATAAAAGATACCTTATTTAAATGTTCATCCTCTTAAAAAATAGAGAAGGCTAAATAAAAAGCATAGCCTTTTCAATATTCCTTTTTGTTTTTTGTTTACTAGCGTCCTTGACCTTGAAAGTATCATTTAAACAGGACATTTGCATATATGTCGCAGTAATTGTTCAATATATCATACTGTCTAGCTGAACAGAGAGGAAAAAACAATCGATAACCATCACGTGATGTGACCTTGACATTGGAAAATATCCAAATTTATATATGAAATATTGAATTATTTGTTCAATAGTAAGTAAATCAATGTTTTTAAACAAAACATGTTAAAGAATAAAAAGGAGGTTGTGATTAATGAAAGATTAAGGAAGAAAGATCATTATTTCTATTTTAGTGTGTGTGTGTGCATGAGTGAATGGTGAGAATACGGATGACTCACACAAAAAGTTTTCCTTCTAATCCATTCATATGATCCAATTAGTTAGACCTTAAAAAAAGTATAAAATTAAAAAAGCTACATAATGATTAACTGGACAAAAAATTTAATGTTTCTTCTTAACGAATTCGTTAGTGTTCACTTGTCTGGTTTAACTTTCAACTTCTTGTTGGCTATATTGAAGGCTAACTGTTACGTCAGAATAGTTGATGTTATACAATTTGTAACTCTGGGAAATCCTTGCTAGGTTATGCTGTACTCTAGTAAGTATCTACTGATGAAGGTGCCTCACAGTTAGTGATCCTCATGCCTCAAGATGACCACATTATCATTGACCTATTGAATAGGAATCCAGTGGTTCATATTTCCCTTGAGGACGACCAATCAGATTGCAGATGTTGTATTCAGGTTTATTCACTACATTCGTTTACCATTTCGATGAAGGTATAATGAAGATTATTTTATAGGTTACTTGCCAGCAGTTGGAGTGCTTGAAAGAAGCCTAAACTGTGAATGTAGTAAAGTCACTAATTTTTACCACTAACTGATACATGTTTGTATCTATCTCATATCATTATTATTGTTATTAGTCCCTTGGGTTCCTAATGAAACATAGGGCTTCAGTAGCACGTCTCCAGTGAACTCTGTTCTCTGGAATCTTTTCAACCTGGCTCCACGACAGCCCACAAGCTCTCATTTCCTCCTCGCACGATCTCCTCCATGTCACCCTTGCCTCGGACGTCCAACTCGTCGCCTCCCATGGGGATTCCACTAGAGCAACTGGCCTGACGCGTGATGTCCCCAATCGGCTTTCTCAGTGTATGCCCAATCCATATCCACTTCCTTCCCATGCATATTTGTTGGGTGATAGGTTGTTGGTTGGTTCGTCCCCAGAGTTCCCTGTTGCTTATTCCTATTATTCTGGCCATCTGATCTTCAGTATCGAGCCAGACCAGCGTAGACAGTTGTTGATGAATGCCTGTAGTTTGTTGGAAATGCCTTTCGTGATGTGCCAAGTCTGTGAACCATACAGAAGCACTGACTTGACTAACGTTGGTGTTAAAAATCCGAATCTTGTTCCACATGCTGAGTGCAGAAGATTTCCACACTGGTTTTATAGTTAATGAACGCCTGTCTTGCTGTCTTTCCGATTCTGACTTTGACATCCTCGTCTGTGCCGTGGCCTGTAGTTGAAACAGTGCTTCCTAGATAAGTGAAGGAGGTTACTTCCTTTAAGTTTCTCCCGTTGATGGTGACGGGAGTTTATTGTTGTTGTTGGTGCATCTGTCTCGTAAGGGATATAAATTCATATGAGATTACAGATATACCTTATTGAAGATATCTTGTCTTATGTATTCACAGTTCATGTAGTACCCCTCACAAAGATGTGAATAAGATGTACTAAGTGTAGTGATATTCAAATTGTTAGGTATATAGAAACTCTTCATCAGGTGACAGTTTCAGTGTTATTTATCTTATACTGTTCATAATATCAATCCTATATCCACCTTTATATTGCTTACATAATCTCTTATAAAAGATTTCAAGGCTTAATTCATTGAAGTTTATTAGTAACTCACCTTCTACTAACATAATTTTCTTATAGTTTATAAATTATACTTATGTAATAACTCCGTCAATCGTATCAACTTCATCATTTTCATATATAGCTGGACTTGGATTTGTTCTACTATTCTCTTCATCATTTAAATAAGTTGGTGATAAATTTATATCACATTCATTATTCGATTTTTCAATCGTCCAACCATTCTTTGATATATTCACTTTCACATCATCCGAAATCTCTTCTGTAAAGAGAAAAACAAAAAAATACCATGTCGACTATGATTTTAGACTGTCATCATAGATCACTGTTAGCATATGGAATTCTATATGGATACCTTGATATTTACCTGATCAGTGGTTATGATGTTAATATGAGAGTAGAACTTGGACAGTGTAGTCGATTGTCAAAGATATGCTGAACGACTGAACGAAGTACAGAACAGCATATCTTTGACATGTGTAAGAGAGGAAAATGACTGCTTGCCGTTCCTAGATATATTAATTAGTCGAAGGCAGGATGGATCCATAAAACGATCTATCTACAGAAAACCTACATGGACAGGGCAATATCTGAATTACCATAGCTTTTGCCCAGTTCAGTACAAGCGAACATTAGTAAGGTGCTTATTCAGCAGAATTCAACGAATATGCACCGAGGATACTTTAGAAGATGAAAGAAGAACACTGACCGATATTTTGTTGGAAAATAACTATCCATCAACATTTATCAGGCAGAACAAAATCAGTAGAGCGTCAAAACTAGAACTGCAGTCAGTCCCAAAGAAGGATGTCTTCATCAGCCTTCCGTACAAAGATGACTCTCAGAGTGCAATCCTTAAGCAGAGACTCAACGCTACTGTTAGAAGGACTTATTATGCAGCCAGGGTTCGAGTAATCGAAACCACGAAGCCCTTATATTCCCCCAAACCCCCACAGCATGTGAACGGTAATGTCACATTCCATTGTATCTACCAATTCAAATGTACGTATGGTGACAAATACATAGAGAGGACTAATAGATCCATGCAAGTAAGCGCCTTGGAACATATTCCAAAGTGGCTTCAGAAGCAAATTAAATCACCTCAACCTATAAATGTTGGTAGCAGACGTCCAAGTTCTTCGATCGCTAAACATATCGTTGAGACAGGTCACAAGATTGATGTGGCTACTTCCTTTACACCTATTTACAAAACATGTTGGGGAGGGATCCTGAAATTTGTTGAGGCCTTATCTATTAGGAAGTTGAAACCACCTTTATGTGTTCATAAACAATTCGTTGTCACATTAAACCTTCCTTGGTAAATTCAACCAAGTTCGATGTACTATTATTTTTTCGCCCTATTGATTTTCATTGTTATTCGGCCTTTAAGTCAGCCTTCCTACCTGACCCCTTTTTATTTTCTCACCCCTTATCTTCATGAGTTTTTTATATAAATACCTATGACAAATACGTATGTGATCAGATAGTTCGAAATGTGTTGCGCAAATACATTACACGGTTCAGACAATTTACGTCTTCTTATTGTTTAGTCTGTTTATTAGAAATATCACACAGTGAAGGAACAGTAGCATTGACTGGATGACGACGTTTTGAACATTAATTATTGTCCATACTCATATCAGTCGGTTATCAATCTCTCTCTCTCTCTCTCTCTCTTTCCACCCAACTAAGTTAGTTTTCAACACTGTCGCTCTATCCCATCCTACTGTGTGGTTGTGTGTCATCGCATGCAAAGCTATAGCAGAGCTTTTCTCTAGATTTCTTATCTTATTAGCATCTACTAATCTTAATTTAGCTAGGTTGTTGTGCTCTGTTATTCTAATCAACCCTGCTTCGACCGATATACTTGACCTCGCAATCATTGTAAAGGATCTGGTAAACCAGATTATTTTGCTGAATTGCATTGATAGGATCTTTTAACCTACAAAGCTTGTTTCTCTTAGCGAGTTTGTTGGTTCAAATACCAGCCACTTTAAACACAGCCTTATTGAGAATTCTTCGTAATGCTTCTGAGGTGTCTTCCTTCTATGGTAACACAGCAAAGGCTTTGAATTCTCTCTCTACCCTGTCGCCATTATTACTATTGGTAGTGGAGTTATTATTAATCACATCTGTATTACTACTACTAATACTGCTAACATTTTTCTTTCGACTGCTTATGAATTTGTTTACAAACTTTGGTGGGTAATTATTGAGACGTAGGATATTCTTGATGTGTCCAATTTCTTGTCGTAGATTTTCCGATCTACTAGTAAACTTTTTCACTCTATCACTTAAGCATTTAACTAGGCCTACTTTAACTGGAATGGGGTGGGACGATTCGAAGTCTAAGTAGTGATTCGAATGAATAGGTTTCCCATAGACACTAGTCTCTAGATTTCCTTCTTGTGTTCATTCGAAGTTGTGCAGTTATCTGATCTGATATGAATATGGACAATAAATTGTGTCCGAAACGTTATCCAGTAAACACTACTGTTTCACTGTGTGATATTTAACAGTAAACAGACTAAAATATGATTATGATATTGTTTGACCAGTGATATCTAACAGCAGAATCAAGGATACGTGCTTCATTCCATTTTGGACTCATCCGTTTATTGTATCTGCATCCCAGCGGGTGGTGGTGTTCCTATTGATGTTGAAATCGAGTACCCATTGTTTCAACCACCAGAGTTTTATTCACTAGGCTATACTAAGTCACAAAAATATTTTTCATCTAACTTAGATTCTATTACTGTGTTTATATATGCATCTCGCCAGGTATTGTAGTAATGTCTCACTTTCTAAGGAGAACATTTGGCATTTGCCAACATACATCATCTCTCCACCACTGGTAATATATCCAGCTATAACATTTGGAAAGCTTTTTAATACAGGTTACTTTGCAATATAATTCATATGTACTTGAATCGGAATGCCACGAATGTTTACATTAGGTTATAGATTACAAGGCAAGAAAACCAAGTCAGTTGATGAAGTTGTTAAACTTCATTGTCTAGGATAGTTTGGCCATGACATACCTAATCACTAGCTACGTTGATGTAAAATGTTCAGTGACGTAGAAATGGGTTACGAGAAGGCAAATGATAATTAGACTGTTACATGACAACGGTCCATGAAGTCTTTCATTATTGTTCTGAGGTTTAATTCGATGTGTAAACTACTTAGTCGGAATCCTCGAGATGATAGGGATTGATGGTTAGAGACTGTTAGTAGCATGTTTCTAAATTGGTGAAAATGGTACAGATGTATGTAGAATTTGTCATCCTTGATACATTGAATATTTTCATTACACTTGAATACATTTATTCTCTGACCTATCAATTACTTGTGTCTACTATAATGTAATTTCAGTTAAAGAAAGTTATAGGAAGTCAGCGATACGAATAACTCACGAATGTAATACAAAGATTTTACAGTTGCTACTTATTTAACTAAGAATGATTGGGATATGCATAGTAGAATGAGTTAAGATTAACTTTGAGTTCGATATAGATTCACTCAAGAGCAGTATAAGATAAACATCACACCTTTAGTATGCCTTATGACCACGTCAGTCAGTAGATAACTTCGTATAGCTTTCATGGTGTCATTCATATCAAATGACATGGTCTGAATATTTAGGTTTCCATAAAAAACCACAATAAGATTTTTCACTACGGTCCATGTATTCTTCAGATATCTGACGTTGAAGTAACCAGCTGGAATTCAGTTGGTTTGAATGATTCATCCTTCTGGACTGAAACAAAAACCATGATGGTCTTGGTGACTAGCAGATGAATCCAGCAGGAACTTTTCGTCCCATTTAGGACTCATCACCTGGATGCACCTACACTCCAGTGTGGCTCGAACTCAGTACTCGTCACCTTAAACGTCACAGTATTACCCACTGAGCCAATGGGGTGCGTTAACCACTTCTTGTGTAACGGGTATCAGTTGCTGTTGTTATGACACTTGTGATTTCCCGTTTGTTATACACAGCCAAACTGCCAAAAACAAAAATGATTCATTTATGTCTTTACTGATGAGTGTGCATTGCTAGAAGTGATATCCTTGGACTGTGAACAGCTGAAATAGTGTCAAAAGTTCAAAGGATGTAGCCGATGGTTATTATTTGATATTTTATGACCAAAGTAGCGTTTCACTTCGTGGCTGATTTACTCATGCATATTTTGTATTGATAGAACAGAGTATAGAATGGCAGTCAACTCAACTCTACCTCAACTTCATCGACTTTGAAAAGGCCTTCGACAGCGTCGACAGAGAAGTAATTTGGTGATTGCTTCTTCAACACTACGGAGCGCCAAAAATCTTTATCAACCTCATTCAACAGCCACATGCCGAGTGATCCACAGTAGAAAGCTTAGTGACGACTCTGAAGTGAAGATACGGGACACGAGTAAGACGAAGTTGCCTACTATCATTAATCACCTTCCTGATTGTGGGCGACTGGACCGGACTAAATCATGTAACGAACTATGAGGAGTGAGAAGATGGCTATATTCTGGACCGATGAAAAGACCCCAGAAGATTCGAAGTTCGCCGATGTTGATTTAGGTCTGATGTCCGACAAACTCGACGAAAACTAACGAGTTGACAGAAGAGGTAACGCAGTGAAGATGGGACTTCCTTCAGGTGAACGTAGACACGACAGAAGTGATGAAGATACCCAACCAACAACAGCATCAACAACAAGCACCAATCATCATCCACCGGAGAAACCTAAAGAAAGTTGTTTCTTTCACCTACCACCTAGGCAAGGCCGCATCGTTTCAACTACAGGTGGCACAGACGAGGATATCAAAACCAGGTTCGAAAAAGCAAGACAGGCGTTCATTAATCTGAAATCAGTGTGAAGATCTACTGCACTCAGTATAAAACGTGAACAACATCCGGATTTTCGACACCAATGTCAAGTCAGTGTTGCTATATAGTTCAGAGACTTGGCGCGCCACGAAAAGCACTTGCAACAAACTACAGATATTCATCAACAGCCAACTACACTCACTCAATACTGAAGATCAGGTCAGATGGTCATAAAGAATAAGCAACAAGGAACTCTGGGAACGAACCAACGGAGAACCTACCACTCAACAAACATGCAGTGGAAGACAGTGGAGGTGGATTGGGTTGAGCACACTCTGAGAAGGCCAACTGGGGACATAACGCGTCAGGTTCTCGAGTGGAATTCAAAGGGAAAACGACGAGTTGGGCATCCGGTGCGAGAATGACACTGAGGCGATCATGTGAGGAAGAAATGAAAGCTTGTGGGCAGTCGTGCAGCGAGGTTCAAAAGATTGCAGAGGACAGAGTGAAATGGAGACATGCTATTGAAGCCCTATGCTCGACTAGGAGCCCAAGGGACAAATAATAATATACGGATGAATCAGATAGCCTGAAAGATATGCGGAAAATAAGCAGGAGACTTTGTGTTCTGTTGTAAGCGCTTGAGCAGTCCGAATTGAATGACTCGACTCATTGTATCGGTGGATTCAATATATGAGACTGGTTTGGTAAGGTCCATGTTAAAACTGAATAAGCCGAATCATATGCTCAAATTAATTGGAGCCAAACAAAGTTTTAGCAAATTTGCTAATGGGTTAACCCAAGAATACAGAACAACTGTTTGAAATATGGTACGCAAATACACTATGCAATTCTGACACAGGTCCATGTACCGCACCCACAAAATTTAGTTGTAATCTTAACCTACTTATAAGTAGTTTGTATAAACTGTGAAAATTTCAGGATTCTTCATTTATATGTGAAACCTATTTACAATTTCGCTTAGCAAGTTGTATGTAATTTTATGTTACGACGGGAATCTCATTTAATGCCATCTTTGTATTGTAATGCTTTAATAGAGGAGAGACGGAAAGTTTCCCTAATACACAGTATATCCATATTTCAGTCCCGTGAAAAAAAATTATGAAGATGGCAAAATTACATATGTCTGAGTTTACCCTAAGATTTTAGCTCACACTGGCCTAGACGACCAGCGCATGACTATGCATATAAAATATCTCTATACTCAAGAGAGAAAAAACCTATGAAGTTGTCAAGTGTGAGTTCAAGTTATACAAGGAATTACACGCCTGTCTTCCAAGAGTAATATCGATTGTTGGAACAACAAATCTCGTATGCAACTCCACACGCCTCCATTTCGCTCATTTTTTCCACATCTTTTTTCAAAACTACAATAGTTTTCGATCAGATATCATTTTCTCCACTATAATGTTGATCCATCCAGTCAATCATTACAAATCGTGCTCAGTTCAGAGTATCTAGACGAAATGGTTCGGTTAGGTGGAGGCTGTCATTAGAGGTGAATTCTTCCAAACCACTAGTCTACACTAACTTCTAGTTTAAGGATGAGTAGGGAAGTGGTGTAGCGCACCGACTATTTCAGTTACTTCGGAAGTCGATTCATCCCGAATAGTTTGGTTGTTGATGAAATCTCAGCTAGTATGTAAGATGTATCCATGTCGTTTGCTAATATTCGTTATCTCTGGTGTCAGCGAGATGTCCGAACACCACTTAAAGTCTTAGTATACTGCTCTGCAGTTCTTTCTGTCTTTCGCTGCATTACTCATGTATGCGGGAACCATGATGTTAGGTGTAAGGTACTGTGAACTTTCATTGACTCATATCGTTTGAGTAATTGATTTACATGCTGAGATACCGCTTACATCGAATTGCAACGTTAGCCAACATGTAATCAGATTGAACTAAGCTTTAGGATGGTCTGACCAAGATGTGTCACTAGTCCATGAAGTCTTCTACCTTTACTGTGAGCTGCGTAGGAAGATGAAATCTGTCTTACTAGGGTCACGATCATGGTAACGATCTCTTTGGTCACAAATGTGCAGAGGTTTACTCGTGAAGTTTTGAGTGTTCTCATTAATTTTCAAGTGATAATCCTGTTTCTCGTATTATGCACTTTAGCCAACTATCATAACATTCATTTTCTATCCACGTTTTCCTTCCAAGCTGCCATGGAGTACGATAACTTAAAGCGAAGCACATCTGTGCCAGATTCAAGTTTATCCTATTTGTCTACAATCCAGTCTATGTTAGTTATTTCAGTCCTTCAAATTAACAAACAAGAAGATTATCATTTCTGACTATCTGAGATAGCAGTGGTCTGGCGGACTTTTATTGATACTGGGTGATGACTGAAGGTGAAATGAAAATTTAGACCGTGGACGGAATCGAACCCTTTCACATATCTAAGCAGCACTGTTTCAACTATAGGCGCCACACACGAGGACGTCAAAACTAGTTAGGATCGGAAAAACAGTAAGACAGGCTCCCATTAACCTGAAACCAGTGTGGAGATCTACTGCACTGCACTGCACTGCACTGCACTGCACTGCACTCAGTATAAAGTGTGAACAACGTCCGGATTCTCAACACTAATGTCAGTGAAGTCAGTCAGTGCTTCTGTGTGATGGTTGAGAGACTTGGGGGCGCATTAAGAAAGGGATTTTCAACAAACTACAAATATTCATGAACAACTGTTGCCTACAGTGGCTCAATACTGAAGATCTATCAGATGACCAGAACAATAAGAATAAGCAAGAAGGAACTCTGGCTAGTTCGTAAGAAACCAAATAAACAAGAAGCTATCGCTTAAATAAAAAGGGAGTGGAAGGAAGTGGAGATGTATTGGGCATGCACTAAGATGGCCGACTGGGGACACCACGCACTGGGTCAGGGTGTCGGGTGGAACCCTTATGGGAAACTGTGAATTGGGTGTCCAAGTCGAGGGTGATATGGAGGAGATGGTGTGAGAAAGAAACGAGAGCTTGCGAGCAGTGGTGGAACCAGGTGGGAAAGAGTGTAGAGAAGAGAGTTGAATGGAGACACGCTACTGAAGCTGTATGCTCCACTAGGAACCCAAGGGATAAATGATAATAATATAATAAGTAGTCGAACCAGCGGCTACCGGGTTTCCGGCTCAACTGATCTGCACGGTCTGTTTGGTGACCAGATTTGGAACCAGAAGTTCTAAGTGAGTGAATAGTGTGAGTACGACCAAGCAATAGTAATGCGTCATGAAGTCACATGAAATAAAATAAAAATATGACCAACAATCATACCTCGTAGCTCAGTTAGTAGAGTAACGAGTAGGAAATCCTATGGTCACTGGTTCGAATCCATCCGAGTTTGAGATTTTTATTTTATCTTCAATCATTACCCAGTATCAAAAAGGAAGCTCACAATACCAGGAAATAATTTCAAAACTCACCCTCTACTGTCCCAGTATTAGGTACTACAATAACAGCATAACCATTTGTCTTCACAGCGACATGATCACTAATCAACTTTGAACTTGGTTGAACAGGCTGAATTTTTCTGACACGTTGATTAGGCAGTTGTGTTGAACCGACAATTAATTTTGGTAAATGTTCAATTCTGATTGGACTTGATTGTCTCATTTGAAATTCTTCAGAATTCACACGTTTCAAGCGTTGTGGAGATTGACTTTTTTCCCGTCTATCTGATCCAATATACTTATAGGTAGACTTAAATTTATGCAATGTAAGGATAACAAACAAAAAAAGGGAGGAAGAGAGACACAGAGAGGGTCAGAATCAAGGCAACGCGTTTGATCGGATATTCAATTGTTAAATTGTTAAATGTTCAATTTAGAATTCTATTTGATATTGGTGTATTTTTTCCAGTCGATGATGAGAAGAAACTACGTAATCAGGAGAATGTATCGTATGAATAATTGGTGAACTTATGATTTGTTTTGTGACTTCTGAAACGTGAAAAATTATTTTTGCCTCTTTCACTTGTCTAGGCAGCATCGTTTCAACTACAGTCGTCGGCGGTGGCACAGGCACACATGAGGACGTCAAAGCCAGCCAGCATCGGAAAGATAGCTCTGATAGATCTTCAGTATCGAGCCACTGTAGGCAACAGTTGTTCATGAATATTTGTAGTTTGTTGTTAACGCGCCCACAAGTCTCTCAACCATCACACAGAAGCACTGACTGACTTCACTGACATTAGTGTTGAAAATCGTGATGTTGTTCACACTTTATGCTGAGTGCAGTGCAGTGGAGTGGAGTAGATCTGCACACTGGTTTCAGGTTAATAGGAGAATGTCTTGCTATCTTTCCGATACTGGCTGGCTTTGACGTCCTCATCTGTGCCTGTGCCACCGCCGCCACCTGTAGTTGAAAGGACGCTGCCTAGGGTGGTGGTTGGTGAAAGAGGTTACTTCCTTCAAGTTTCTCCCGTTGATGGTGATTGGTGTTTGTTGTGATTGTTGTTGTTGGTGGCATTGGTTAAGTATCTTCATCACCTCTGTCTTCTCTACACTCACCTGAAGTTCCATCTTCTCTGCCTCACCTCTTCTGTCAACTTGTTAGTTTTCATCTGTATATCTTCAAGGTTGTGTCACATAGGACACAAGTCATCATCGGGAAGATTCAAATCTTCTAGGCTCTTGTCATCGGTGCCGCAGCGTATCCCCCTCTTGTCGCTCCTCACAGTTGTCTGCCTCATGATGTAGTCCACCACAATGAGGAATATCATGAGTGGTAGTAGATAGCCTTGTCCCACTCCTGTCTTCACTTCAAAGGCGCCACTGAGCTTCCCATTGTGAATCACTTGGCATGAGATTGATTCCATAGTGTTGAAGCAATTCCCAAATTACTTCTTGGTCGATGCGTATGTGTCTGTTAAGATGAAGACAATCTGTACTGTTTCTTATTTTTATCTGCTATTCAACAAGATAATCAAAATACGTTAACGACAAATTTAACTTTCGCGCTACAGCTTAACTAAAACAAAAATATCGGGTATTTATTTTCAATACTTGATGGGATCCGGGTATAATGTTTGAAAATTCATCTAAAATGTCATCAGTAGTAATATTCTGTCTATTTCAGTAGTCTGTAATCAAAAGATTGAAATATGTTTCTATTCTCGATGTAATCATTCACTATTGAAACATTGAACATAGCGCGCCAAAATTGTTTGTTATAGTTATTATCACAAATTATTTTAAAAAGAAGAAATTCTTGTTTATATTTGTAAATATATATATGTGTATATTTCAAATGAGAAAAAGTTTGTTAACACGTTTGTTTATATGAACTTACTTGTGGTTTATTTGTTATTGTGTTGACATAACGAGTTGTTTTTGTAACTGGTGGTAATTTGTCACCTTTGTCAACATCTTTATCAGTATACTCATCATCTTTTATTATTGTTGGTGAATCAATATTTATTAGATGTTGACTTTCTTGAATTGGTGAACCACGATAAATATGACCATCCATACCTTGTAAGTCACGTATTTCTCTATTTTAATTGTTAAAAAAAATATTTTAGAAAAAAAATGTTATATAAATTTTGTATTTTATATATACTAGATGAAGATGAAATGGAAATTTGTACCATGGATGGGATTTGAATCACTGATCATAAAGTTTTTGAACCGATAATCTACTCACTGAGCTTGAAATAATGGAGAATATTTGGAGCTTAGGTGGATGGTCTTGGTTGTATTGTATTCTCTGAGCTGGCTGGGTTGTTTAGTCGTGGAGAAGCTTTCATCACCTTACTAGACAGTGACATCATCACCATTAACTTCAGTATGAAGTGAGTGAGCTGTCAATATCTCTCCGTGAGTGAGTGATTTAGTAGCTTGCTATGACGATGTGGTCTGTGATTGGATGTTTCCTTTGATTGTTGTGTCATTGAATAATAGCAGAAGGAGTGATACAGAGACTGGAAGCCATTATTCTACCTGCGATGAAACCAAAATTCTGCATTTGCTATGTGGACGACGCTCTTGTCATCATTAAAAAGGATGATATAGAAAACACTCACAGTTTTATCAACAGCGTTGTCAATAACATCAAATTCACAATGGAGAAAGAGTCAAACAACTAACTGACATTCCTGGATGTTTTAGTCAGTAAGACAAATAGTCGAAAGCTGGAAACCCAAGTGTACAGGAAGCCAACACACACTGACCAAATCCTCAACTACAATAGCAACAATACACAAGATCAGTTACGTGCAGACTCTATTCAGAAGAGCGAGAACACACTGCAGTGTAGTACAACAAGTTCAAGGAGAAACGAAGAAAATTACTTGATGTCCACCTTAAAGAAGAACGACTACCCACGAAACTTTATCACAATATGCCTCTCCCAAGCATCATCAAATACAAAGTCATCGACAGAAATCAATGAAAGCATCATCCTACCATGCATAAAGAATATATCAGAAATCACGACGTGATCACTGAGACCACTTCATGGAATTGATGTGGCGCCTCATAAACCAACAAATTCCCTTCAAGCACTATTATGCAGACCAAAGGATGTAGCAACAATCAGAGAAGACAAACCGAATATCATTTACAAAATCAACTACAATAGCTAACTGTAGTCAACACTACACTGGACAAAGTGATCACCCTCTTCACCTTTCTCACTTAGGTGAACACCAATTGGCTATTAGACATCACACACGACATTTCATCACTCATTTCAATGCATGTGGATAACAACTATGGACATGAATTCAATTTGGACAATGTAGAAATGTTGGAGGGAGAGATGAAACACAAAGAATACCAATGAATTTCTAGAAGCTTGGCATTCAGGTCAGTCAGTCAGCAGTCAATGTATGTGTAGACATAGACCCAATCTATCAACCAATAAGAAAGATGATAAATCACAGAAAGGTGAGAGGTGAAGCAAAGGCACAGCCAACAGGAAAGTCTATACAATCAATGACACAATAATCGAAGGAAATAACCAATCACAGACCACATCGTCATAGCAAGCTACTAAATCACTCACTCACGGAGAGATATTGACAGCTCACTCACTTCATACTGAAGTTAATGGTGATGATGTCACTGTCTAGTAAGGTGATGAAAGCTTCTCCACGACTAAACAACCCAGCCAGCTCAGAGAACACAATACAACCAAGACTCACTGAGCTACAAGATCTCACTACTGACCAGATTCTTTTTATTTCAATTCAGGGGGGTTTTACCCGACTACTACATGAGTTCATGATACGTTACTATTGCTTAATCGTACTCATACTGGTTGCCCGCAGTCAGGACTTCTCACCCTTATCCTGATCTGACTGAATTAAAGGGGAGGGGGAGCATCATATTGATTATTATTTTGACTACCTTAGTGACCTAGCAGTAGTTTGGAAGATTAGTATTACTGATACTGGGTGATGACTGAAGGTGGACTGCAACCAGATTCGAACCAGTGATATTTTATTATTAGTACTTTTACATTGAAGAAGAAAGACGGTCATTTGGCTACCAAACTACCGTAATGATGTCACATGGTCCTTTTGTCCTTATTGTGGAGTCTTTAATAGTGCTAATAACCCACTTCATCGGAGTTCCAAGTCTCTTCAACTATACGTGACTAACCAGTTAACAGGATTCTTAACAACTTAGAAGAACCTAACGTATATTAAACCATTGAAGTAGGTCGTAACAAAAAGTATCAATTGATAACGACAGTAATGAGAATGCAGATCAACTTGTTGTATAAATACCAATAATACTACCTAGTCAGTCAAATAGCGGGGTTCGAACCCAGAATGCACCCCCTTTTTGTATGTCAAATAACTGTTCCTGTAAAATAGAATACTTCTGTGATTGCAAATTTACTGCTACACAAACTGTTGATAACTGAACTTAAATTTATTGGTACGACTGTAGATTATATAGAGTAAGATCCAGAGCTTCCGAGTTCGAGTCCATACAGAGTTAAGGGGTTTCATAGCTTCAGATTTGAGAAATAGGCGAGAGAAAAAAAGATAGATATTCAGTATTCCATGCTGTTTTCAAACGATTTTCAAATTTTGATAATTCAGTTTAGCATTCATTCTCTCTAAATGTGTAATTTAGCACTTGCTTCAACACTACAGAATACAAGAAACCGTTATCAATCTCATTCAGCAACCGTATGAAGACGCCACATGCCAAGTAATTCACAATGGGAAGCTCAGTGATGCCTTTGAAGTGAATATGGGACAGGAGCAAGACAAGGCTGTCTACTACCACCCATGATTTCCCTGATTGTGGTCGACTGGAATGGATCATGTAACCAACTGTGAGGAGCGAGAAGATAGGTATACCCTGAACCGATGAAAAGATCCTAGAACGTAGAGAAGACAGAGGTGATGAAGATACTCAACAAATGCCACCAACAACAACAATTACAACAAACACCAATCACCATCAACGGGAGAAACTTGAAGGAAGTAATCTCTTTCACCCAACACCCTAGGCAGCGTCCTTTCAACTACAGTCGTCGGTGGTGGCAAAGGCACAGACGACGACGTCAAAACCAGTCAGCATCGGTAAGATAGCAAGACATGCTCCCATTAACCTGAAACCAGTGTGAAGATGTACTACACTGCACTCCACTGCAGTGCGCTCAGCACAAAGTGTGAACAACATCACGATTTTCAACACTAATATCAGTGAAGTCAGTCAGTGCTTCTGTGTGATGGTTGAGAGACTTGTGGGCGCGTTACGAAAGGGATTTCCAACAAACTACAAATATTCATGAACAACTATTGCCTACACTGTCTCGATAGTGAAGACCTATCAGATGAACATAATGATAAGAATAGGCCAGGAGGAACTCATAAAAAACTAGCGGATTAAGTAGCCTGAAGAAACTCTGAAGGTCACTTCAACAACCCATAAAATGGTCAATCAAAATTCTGTGTTTTGTCAAGAAACCCTCTTTCCGGCTGAAATGAAGCAACCTAATTGGTCATTTCAGCTTTTACTAGGGTAACCTTGAAGGTCAATCAGATGATGACACTCGCTTCAATCTGATTTGTTGAGATTTAGGTTTATGAAGGTATATTGAATCTGATTGGTTGACAGATTATGTCCGTCTTTCTTAGCAGACTAGTCAACCAGTATAAAGATACACTTGTATTACAACTTTTTACAAACTGATAAGCACTACACTGAAAAGTGGAATATGTGACCATATTGATAACATAACGAAGATATTGATTAGATGAGTACTTTTTAACACTATTTGTAAGCATAAAATCTAAGCAAGTATGTTTTAGATTACGAGGAATATTTATGGCTCAAGTGGGTAATCTTTATGGTGTTGCTTTCCCTGAACTCTGTGGAACTTTAAGTGTCTTTCTAAACAAAATCATCAATCCTTACGTCACTATGACTACATACTTAGATTAGGGTAGACAAATATTGTCTAAATGGATTATAAAAGCTTGAAGATATAGTACTATACAGCCTAGAGAAGATAATACGAAGAGATAAAAATGTTTTTACATTCAAATATTCAAAAAGATCATGAAAATATTTAAAGTTTTGTAACTACCTGCAAGAATAATGAATGGAAGACTTTGTAGTATGGCCATCAGTTTCAACAAAAGAGCTAAATAGATAAATAAATCATTAAAATGGGAAAGAATCAAAACTAAGTAGTAGCAATTTTACGATAAAATGTGAACTACTTATAAGTAGTTAAATAAGCACAAAAGAAATTTAATCATGTTATAAAATGAATAACGGGACTCTTGAACATATGTGAATATTGAACCTCGTTGGAGTAAATCACCCTAATCTCTTATGTTTTCTGTATCAGGGACTTAGTAGGGATTAGACAATCGATTATACTGATCAGCTGAAAGTTGGACGAAGCTTTATCACAATGGATTACCGGCATAACATGTAAAAATGGGCTTAATGTTTCTTGATATAGCTTAGCATGGTGAACAACTTTGAATCGGATTTAGAAGATGAAGTGGTCAATCATTCACTTCCCTAACTATGGTGCTGATAAAATTCTATCGATCCTTTTGTAATGTGGTCATCGAAAAAGGAAGATCACCATTGTGGTTCACTTTGGTGGGTATTAGTTCAATGGAGAAAGTCGACAGGAAGCCCTAACCCCGGATTTAATGCTTTTTGGCTCTTATCGGCAAAAAGTATCCGCGAATTCGTAAGATCGAATATCTCCATCGAGATTTCGACCACGATAGTCATTTATGTTATCATCAACTTAATTATTTTATCTACTCGTTCAGCCCATCGTTTATATACATGGCTAATTGACAGTTTACACTTCAGTGCAGAAGTGTTAAGGAGCTTTAAGTCATCATAAACCTTGGAATTCATTTCTCACCTGTCAAATGTAAGATGACATTGCAAGATATCTCCCAGTTTAATGATTGGCAGTGAAGTGGTGGAATACGTTGAAAATGTCATTTAGTGATTGGTGACAAAATCTTAGCTCGAATACATATGACCCCCCCCCTGTTGGTATTCAGTAAGTTGCTTATATGTTGTGGAATCATCTCATGTTAGTGATGTTGAGATCAGGTCACTAGGCACGAAAGACAAGTTGAATGACATGACTTGAACATGTACTGAACATGTGGAGCCATGTAAGAAGATATGGACTACTCGTCCTGTGCCACAGAGACGATAAGAATCATTGGTTGAAAAGTTTTGATGACATCGTTGAAAATTAATCATAGTCACTGTTTAACACCTTCTAAAGCTTGAATATTTACACTGGTTATTTTCTCACACAATCTTGTCTACTTTAATATCAATCCTTTTTTAATCAATTTGTTCTTTTTACCCTACTGATACACCTTTATTCAAGATACTACACTGATTCTGTCTATTTGTTTATCATAATGAAAATATTTATAAGATTTATTGTATAATGATAAACTGTATTCAATGTTAAATGATTGAAAACATTCAATCGAGAACATTTATCTTTATATCGGTGGAAAAAGCATTCTTAAGATGCATAGTTTGTATAGTGAATATTTGTTGTTATGATATAGAAATCACCTGTTATATTATCTAGTCTAATAAACTAACCTTTTACAAGTTGTTGCACGTGACTTTCGTTTTGATGATGATGCAGCTGTATGTGTTCCACCACATTGTCGTGGTGTACCATAAATATCATAATAATGACCATTTGATCTAGTCAACAAAAGGAAAAAGACAATTATAATTCATATGTTAAATAATCAATAAAATATTATACAACTATGATGATTAGTATGGATATAACATTGTATCGAATAACCAAGTTACTATCTCGAAAGAGATCAACACATATGAAACCAATAAAAGATGATGAAGGAAATTTAATCACCAAAGAAGAGAAACAAAGGAAACGATGGGCTGACCACTTCAAGAAGCTCTTGAATTGACCACCACCTGCACTTCGTCCAGAAATACTACCCGAAGCCATAGAACTACAAATGAGCATAAATCCTTCAACAAAAATTGAAGTGCTGAGCGCCATAAAGTTACTGAAATGTGGGAAAGCAGCGGGACGAAATGGAATCCTGCCAGAAGCACTGAGGATAGACGCAGGCACAACACAGCATATTGCAGAAGGTCTGGAAGGAAAGAAAGTTACCTGCAGATTGAAAGAAAGGCTACCTGGTCAAACTCTCGAAGAAGGGCTACCTAAGTAATGCAAGAACTGGTGCAGAATCACGCTCCTGTCCACCCCAACCAAAATGCAATGCAACTTCATCCTGGAGAGACTGAAGGATGAGCCGAATCTAAAACTACGACCAGAACAAGCTGTCCAGGTTCAGGAAATACAAATCATGTGCGGACCAGATCGCAACGCTACACTACACATCATCATAGAACAGACCATAGAATGACAGTCAGCTATCAACCTGAACTTAGTCGACTTTGAGAAGGCCTTCGACAGCGTTGAACGAGAAGTAATTTGGCAACTGGTTCAACACTATGAAATGCCACAAACCTTTATCGACCTCATAAAACAACTAAATGAAGACGCCAAATGCCAAGTGATTCACAATGGGAAGCTCAGTGATACCTTTGAAGTGGAGATGGGACAGGAGTCGGACAAGGCTGTCTACTATCACCCATGATATTCCTGATTGTAGTGGACTGGATAATGCAGCAAACCGTGAGCGACGAAAAGAGGATGATACGCTGGCTGCACCGATGAAAAGATCCTAGAAGATTTGGATTTCGGCGATGACTAGTGTCTAATGTCACACAAATTTGAAGATCTACAGGTGAAAACTAACAAGCTGACAGAAGAGGTGAGGCAGCGAAGGAAGACGGGACTTCAGGTGAACGTAAAGAAGACGGAGGTGATGAAGATACTCAACAAATGCCACCAACAACAACAATCACAACAAACACCAATCACCATCAACGGGAGAAACTTGAAGGAAGTAATCTCTTTCACCCAACACCCTAGGCAGCATCCTTTCAACTACAGTCGTCGGTGGTGGCAAAGGCACAGACGACGACGTCAAAACCAGTCAGCATCGGTAAGATAGCAAGACATGCTCCCATTAACCTGAAACCAGTGTGAAGATGTACTACACTGCACTCCACTGCAGTGCGCTCAGCACAAAGTGTGAACAACATCACGATTTTCAACACTAATATCAGTGAAGTCAGTCAGTGCTTCTGTGTGATGGTTGAGAGACTTGGGAGCGCGTTACGAAAGGGATTTCCAACAAACTACAAATATTCATGAACAACTGCTGCCTACACTGTCTCGATAGTGAAGATTTATCAGATGACCAGAACAATACGAATATGCATAACGGTCCAAGTTCTCACAGCTAATATCAGTACATCAAGTAAACAAGGCAGTGAAGCGGGAGATGAAGAAAAAGGAAACTCAGTCAGAAGAAATATAAATTACTGAAAGAGAGAAAGGAAGAATAAGAAAATAGTGTGACTTGGTATAACGTGGTTAAGATGAGGATAATGTATATGTATACATCTGCGCCACTGACATCAGTTCTGAGCCATGTGATCACCTAGAGTCTCCAACCACTGGTTCCTCCTATCCCACCGACCTCAACGGACTTGTCTGCATTGCCTCATATGGATCAAATCAACAGTTCAATGAACGCGAAACACACTAGGTCACCTTGATTAGCGTAATTCTAAGTAGTATTCACTGTTGTTAGATGTGCTCAACAGAAACAATTTTAAACTGTAATAACTAAGAACATGAAGGTGTTTTGGGATGAAAAGTTTTATATTCAACAAGTTACATTGATAAACCTTCTATTCTTCACCGAGATACTATTTACAGTACAACATAAACAAAATATTTCTGAGTTAATTGTACATGTGTGTGTTTGTGAGAGTATTGATGATCAATACTGTCTAGTATGATTATCAAACGTTTTCCAATCAATACTTAAGACGGAATCATTGTCAAAGTTACAATAAATAATCTTGATTCTTGATCGTTAATGGAGTCAAGATGATGAAATAATTAGTACTGATATCGGGTGATGATTCAAGGTGAAATAAAAGCTTTGACAGTGGACGGATTCGAACCAGGGACCACTGGGGTTCGGACTTGATGCTTTAGCAACTGAGCTACGAGGTTCGCTTCAGTCACCGAGGGTTTTACCCGATTATTATATGAATTCATGATGAGTTACTATCGTTTGATCGTACTCACATCGGCTTCTCCTTCCAGTCACACTTCTCATCCCAATCCAAATGTAACTGAATTAGAGGGAAGAGGAAGTATTATAGTGACTCTCATATTGACTATATGAGATAGCCGTAGTTTGGCAGACTCCCATTGATACTAGGCGATGATTGAAAGTGAAATGAAAATTTGGACTGTGACCGGATTCGACCCGTTGATCTACCAGCTGAGATGCGAGGTCCACGAGCCACAAGGGAACTTGATAGTCACTGGTTCGAATCTGGCCGTAATCTAAATTTTCACCTCACTTTCAATCATCACCCAGAATCAGTAATACCAGTCTGTCAAACCACGATAGTCAAAATGATAAAATAATTAGTTTGAAACGTTCTATACTATTAATTTGTGTAGCTAGTAGTATGATGCATTATTATAAATATTCGGCATTTGAATAGTTTCACTTCATGATAGATCATTGACAAATAGTTAATTCGCTAGACAAATGACTTTTGAAGCGATAGATTCATGGTTCAAGACTCATTTGAAACACTATCGCTAACTAGGGTACAACCACATTCAGCTGATGAGTCCCAAAATGGGAAGAAAAGTAAATCCTGGATTCCCTTGCTAGCTACTATCAAGCAAATTACAAAACATATTATTCACTAAATTACATCTACTGAGCATCATCAGAGACTTCAGTATTACCAATTATAAGACTATGTATTGTAAAGAATTGATCATCAGTCGGAAACTTTCAGTTACACGGTGGTTTTGATTGATTTCGGCGTACAGATAAGAAAGTAATTCTGTCAATTAAAAGGAAGCGACTTCAGTCAAATTACTTTCTGTCTATTTTAAGTTAAAATGAATCACAGTCTAGAAGTGATGTGTAAAAACTACCAGTTATAGACGATGTTCAGTGTCATGTAGTCAGGTATGCTATTTCCTCTTGTCTGATATTCAATTCATGTCGTCAGTTGCACAGATAGATAACTAATTAAGATATTACATTACCCCTCCTCCCACCCCTTATATTTCCATGTTATGTAATCCACTGAACCTCATAGACAAAATGGATTATTTTGAGTCGATAGGTAAAGATGGGATAAAATAAGTTTACTCTTTGAAATAATTGTGAAACTAGGAAAATGTGGTACAATTTAAATCCATATTGGATTTGTTTATATAATATAGCTAGGAGACAGTGTTGTACAGTATTATTAACTGGATGATCACGTTTTCAGCATAAATTCTTATTGCTCATAATCAAACTCCACTTTCAATAATCGATTTTTATAGTCCTATCATCTCTGATTATTTTGTGGGTAGTACTACTACTACTAGTAAAATAATCCTTATCTCCAGTATACCTGTCCCATCATTCCAGTGACATGTGTTAGATGTTGTGGTTGATTCAATGAGGAAAGATTCAGTAATCAATCTCCCTCTCTCTCTCCCTCTCTCTCTCTCTCAATCCCCACCTAATTATATTGCACTAGAGTGGTACAGTCGTCTTATCCCACTCACCCCATATTGTGTGCTTCCGCGTTAATGTACCCATTGCAATCGCCGAGTAATTTCCTAGATAACTGATCCTACTACTGTCTGTCATTCTATGTTTAGCTAAATATTGATGATCCATTAATCTAACTTGCTGTGATCAGCTAGTTTGACGTATGTACTTGATCTCATAGTCATGATATGGGATTTAGTAGAATAGATTATTTTGCTTAATTGTTTCTATCGGATCCTTAAACCAATCGACAAAGCCTATTTCTGAGTGAATTTGTAGGTTTAAATGCCACACTAATTCCAGCTTTCTTGAGAATTCTACGTAAAGTTTCTGATGTACCTTCATCATATGATAAGGCAATGCAGACAGTGAACTCTCTTCTACTAGTGTTACCATTATAATTTCATCTGTTATGTGTTGAAAAGGATTTCTTCATAAACTTGTAGAGGATAATTATTAACTATTACGGCTTATTTAATGTGCTGCAGTTCCTTGTTTAGGTCCGTCCACTGACTAGTCAGTTTTCTAGCTCTGCCATTTAGATATTTGACTAAACCCACCTTAATTCACTGACATTGGATAAGATGACTTGAAGTTTCGACGCGAGTTGAAATGTGTCAGTTTTCTGTTGACGGTAATATCCAAACTACAATCTGTCCTTCGTTTCCTTCTGCAATCCAACATCGATAATTCTCCTTGTTCATCTTCGTTCTACCTTCTAAGTCAATTGGATTGCGTCTACTACTCAGTTTATATGTGTGAGCGAATTGTTAACATATTCCCATTTCAACACACATATCGCCATCATATCTTCGGTGCAGGATTAACCGTTTATAAAGCCACGTTTTCCCAACTGTCCATAAATATATCTGCTGCAGTCGGGGATATCGGCGATCCTCATTGTTACTGCTTGTTTGTTGAAATATTTTGTGATGACTATATGGCGGTCAAACACAACTGTACACCTAATACGATCTCATCAACCGATATCTTAATTCTGTAAGT